AGGGATATTAAGAACGGTATAGGTAATGGAGTAGCCAAAGGACTTATATGCATGACCCATGGACATGAACTAAAGGGTTAATTACTGGAGGGAGTGGGGTTACAGGGTAGAAGAGGGCAAAGGGAAAAAAACTGGGACATCTGTAATGGCATAACCAATAAAATATATTTTTAAATATATGATTTATACACCAGTTAAAAATTGTAAAATGGCTGATTAAACTCCATTTTGTTAAAATCCTCATTTCAAAATTTCATTCAAAATAGCTTTAGAAAAATGTTCTCCTTTGGTGGTGTCCTTCTTGGAAAATTTGGAGTGAGTCATTAATACACTACCTACCATGACCCTTCCCTACCTCAATTTTAACATAGTTTCTTTGTCTTCAATGGATATTATCAACACTGCACCTTTTATTACTCATCTACCCAGTGTTCCCTGCCCATGCAACAAGTGGAAAGATTTATTTTCAGCTCCTGCCTCTCTAAAGAATGAAGAGCATATACACATGGTCTAAAAAGGATGACCCCGAGTTAAATCGTAACACTGCCCAGGTACCCACAGATCATATGATCTCTAGGTAAACAGGGCTGACCTATAAATGTCTCAGTCAAAGGTAACAGGAAAAGCCAGGCATACTGAAGATGCTTGACAAACATAACCTTTTGTTGAATATTTAAAATACTTGTATTTTATCTGATCTGCCTTCTAAAGGATACAGTCAATGCCCTAGTCAACTATGTATTTTTCTCAGAACCTAGCACCATATCAGTTGTCAGGAATGAAATCAGAAATTCTCCCATATAAAAATTTTCCTTCTTTCCAATTTTTTATATTATCCAATTTTTCTTTAATGAATATAAGCTGCTTATATAATAAAAATAATTGTCTCAATATTTGTGTTTTTAAGGTGTATATCTTATATAGACCTAAGATATTGTATATATATTCTATATATGATCATACTTATAATTAGAGGAAAATACAGAACTAGTTTAAAACTGACTTGTGAATCAATACATAATACATTTTCAACATCTTAAGGTAATTTATTAGTTACAATACAGAATATTTAATGCTGAATATGTATTTGTGTTATTCTAAAAAATGGTTAGCAAAACTGAAATGAATGTTTTGGTTGTTTTCTTATGACACAAGTGGGTGAAAAGCAGAACTACACAGAAGTTTCATAATAAAACTCTAAACCACATTAGACTTGTCTATTGTCAGGTTCTGTTACATTCCCCCAACTCAGTCCAGACTCCCTGGGGTTGGCAAACAGGGCAAAGTTTGAGTCAAAACCACTCCCTTCCTTTGAGCTTTTGGGATACACTTGGAATTCTGGGAGAAACCAAAAGAAACAGCAGTTTTTTTTTTCTCCAGATGTGGCAAGTCTGTCACTTTCAGTGGTTATTCAAATTTCAAACTCAGCCCAACAAGTAAGGACAGTTGCCTGGGAGGGGGAAGGAGGGAATGGGCAAGAGAAATCTAAGGTTCTTTTCCGCTCAGAACAAGATGTTGATGTTGTAAGATTCTCTAGGAGAGGGAGCAAGTTAGAAAGAAGGCAGGGCAAGAAAGGAGGGAGGGCGTGGGAGGGAGGAACCAATGAGGAGAGTGTGCCATAAGGATAGATTAGGATTCACCCAATTCTGTTGTCCTGAGATACGAGTTAAAAAAATTTACACTCGATGTATTTAATAAACATGTTCATTTGTCTGAAGGCTGGTTCCATGTCTGAAACAGGTTGTGTTTATTTATTTAGTTAGTTTTTAGAGAGAGGAGAAGAAGGAGAGAGGGAGAGAAACATCTATGTACAAGAGAAACATCAGTCAGTTGCCTCTCACACACCCCCATCCAGGGACCTGGCCCGCAACCCAGACATGTGCCCTGACCAGGAATCAACATGAGACCTTTCAGTTTGCAGGATGACGCCCAACCCACCGAGCCACACCAGTTAGGGCTGAAGCAGGTTGTACTCATGGATGATCACTGAAAAGACAGTTTTATACAGAGGGTCTTATTCTTTAAAAAAAAAAAAAACAAAAAAAAACAAGAAAAAAATCCAGTATTGTAGATTTTGCTTAGTTGCCCTGTTTCTATCATACATACCTTTTCTTTAGCTAGTCCTATTAATCATAAACTGGAATATAATTTTCATCCTAATTTTTCAATTCTTTTTCTACTTACAACAGTCAACATTTATTGAGGACTAACCTCTATTCAGTTACTGTGCTAAGTATTTTACATACTTTTATGGGGAAACACTTACTCCCTACTCTAGTATTCCCTCCTATATGGGAGTAATCTTCCTGGCCTGTGTACTCTTACTCCTTCCAAGAAGAGGGAGGAGCAACTTTGATAAGTTTGGGCTGAGGACCAGGGCACATAATAAAGGTCATGTATAACTGATGTTCCTTTCTCCTTCTCCATTCTCCTTCAGATATTTCAGCCTGCAAGGAGCATGTGTGTTAGTCTGCTCTCAGCAAGGCCAGCAGCAGAGTGGCATAGGTCCTGCTCCTGCAAGACTGGGAAAAGACAGTAAGTCAAGTTACAGGACTTGATTGGATATTGACCTACTAGGAGACTGTCTCCTGGGAATATTGTGCAGCTCAGAAAAATGAAGGTGAGAATTTCTTTGTTTTTGGCAAAGACAGAATGCATAGATTGCATATATTTTACCATGGGAGACCCCCCAAAACAAAATTTAGAGAGGTACATAAGAAAAATGCAGGTCTTGGCTAGAAAATAAAAGGAGAGACAAAGAAAAAGGGTATGAAAAAGCAAAATAATGCCAATGTTCGAATCCAGCAAACAGTACTAGACTTACCATAAACAAAGAAATGGAGCAAACTAAAAAACAAGTTGAACTATTATAAACTCATTTGAGTCTTTCTGAAAAATAGCAGCGGGGGGGAGTGGCAGGGGGGAAGTGCAGACAACTGTAATTGGACAACAATAAAGTAATTTAAAAAAAGAAATAGAAGCAAAAAAATAGCAGTGGAACAGAGGAAGGAAATATAACACTAGGGGCCTAGTCTCTTGCTGAAGACAAGGTTGTAGTTGAGAGAAGTGCTACTCAAGGCTATGACATTGAAAGTGAAAGACAAGGACTTGAGTAGTATCAGGCCCATAGGGGCACAGGTTCCAAAAGCAGCTTTAATTCAGTTCTTTGCTAAGAGTGATATCCTGTTGAAACAACTGTAGGAAGCAGGGGGAAGTCAGCAATAGGAGACAGGTGTCTTAGCCATGACAAGAGGTGAAGGTAACAACCACTATGGCTCAGGATTGAAGAGCTGCTCATAAGATACCCTGGAGGTTGTGTAACTAGTCTGAGCCCCATTCTTTTCGGCAAGGATTGCTAAAAACAGGGGACTCGACGGGAAAGGGAAACGGAGAGGTTTTGAAGACAGTAGGAAGGAAAGGTCCTTCAAGTAAAGCCTATTGACTGGGGCTGCCATCATGTGAAGATTTTTAAATGTTTTTAGAGGCCAGGAGTGTCACAGATGCCACTCCCTGAGAGAGAAAATAGTGTGCAGGGGTGGCTCTTCCTCCCAGATTGGAAGTGAGAGATTAACTTCTTGATGAGTGGTTTCTTTGAATTGAGTTAAGCTCACAATTTCTAGACCCCATAGAACCAAATACAGAAACTCAACTATTTGCCACCCCCTCTCACTGCTATCATCTCTTCTGTAGATTGTTGCAATCACTTTTTAAATGATCTTCCTGTTTCTTACTTCGCCCCTCACAGTCTCGTCTCAACACAGCATCCAATGTGATCTTGTTAGTTTGGGTAATCTGCTCGGAACCCTCCATTGGCTCCCCAACTCATCAGATTGAATGCTAACAAGACTCCACATGACACGCCCCTCTGTGTCCCTTTGGTCTCATCCCTTACCATTTTCCACCTAGCTTGCTCTACTCCAGCCACACAGGCCTCCTTTGCTGTGTTTAAACACTCCAGAACACTCCTGCCACCGGCCTTTGCGTGTGTTATCTCCTCTATCGTTAAAACAATTGTTCCCTCCTTCATATTCTCCTGGCTTACTCTTTAATATCCTTTCAGTTTTGATTCAAAACTGCCTTCCATGATTATCCTAGCTAAAATTCTGATCCCCTCCCAACATGTTAGAACCTTTTCTTTTATTTATTTTTCTCCTTACCATGTCCATAATATCTTACATATTTAATTACCTATCCCATTTAAAGAAAATCTTCCCCAATAGTATGCAATTTTGCTCCATGACAGCAAGGTCTACTCTTGTCTATTTAATTTACTGCTAGAATACCTCCTGAAACATAGTAGGTATTCAATAATTATTTGTGATATGAATTGATGAATCTTGGTGAGACAAAAACTCATATTACTTCCATCTATTCACCTCAATTTGGGTACCTTTGATATAGTGTGGGGCCTTTTCAGGGGTATGATTTGGGAGCATAACTTTCCTGTGGTAACTGCATTATGCTGTAGTCATTAACTTGCTTTCTAATTGTATAATTACTGAGCTAGAACTCTTATAACGTGGTATATTTCAGGAATTCTTTAACTTTTATAAAGTGGGGGGTCATGAAGACAAATTCTAATTTTCAGTTCTTGAAGGAAGCACATTCATTCCTGGTGCTATGCTGCCAAGAGAACCCAAGCCCACATCTGCTCTCTCTTGACTAAGATTGAGAGGGCAAAAAATTGGGAAAGGTGAATTTTGGATTTTAATTATTTTTATTTTTTATTTATTTATATTTAGAGAGGTGGAAGTAAGAGAGAAAGAGAGGCAGAGAAACATCAGTGTGTGGTTGCCTCTTGCACACACCCTACTGGATACCTGGCCCACAACCCAGGCATGTGCCCTGACTGAGAATCAAACCAGCAACCCTTCGGTTCTCAAGGCTGGCATTCAATCCACTAAGCCACACGAGCCAGGGCTGGATTTTAATTTTTTTAAACTTTCACTCAGTTTCCTCTCGGTCCCATATTGAACTCGAGTTAGAAGAGGCAAGTCTGGTCTCAAAATGGAGGGCCATGATCCAAAGGAACCAGAGCAGTTGAGAAAACTGTTTATCGGTGGTTTGAGCTTTGAAACTACAGATGATAGTTTAAGAGAACATTTTGAGAAATGGGGCACTCTCATAGATTGTGTGGTGATGAGAGACCCTCAAACAAAATGTTCCCGGGGCTTTGGTTTTGTCACTTACTCTTGTGTTAAGGAGGCGGATGCAGCCATGTGTGCTCGACCACACAAGGTTGATGGGAGTGTAGTGGAACCAAAGAGAGCTGTTTCTACAGAGGATTCGGTTAAGCCTGGTGCCCATCTAACAGTGAAGAAAATTTTTGTTGGTGGTATGAAAGAAGATACAGAAGAGTATAATTTGAGAGACTATTTTGAAAAGTATGGCACAATTGAAACCATAGAAGTTATGGAACATAGGCAGAGTGGGAAAAAAAGAGGATTTGCTTTTGTAACTTTTGATGATCATGATACAGTTGATAAAATTGTTGTTCAGAAATACCACACTATTAATGGGCATAATTGTGAAGTGAAAAAGGCCCTTTCTAAACACAAAATGCAGCCTGCTGGATCCCAAAAAGGCCATGGAGGTGGATCTGGAAACTTTATGGGTCGTGGAGGAAACTTTGGCCGTGGTGGAAACTTTGGTGGAAGAGGAGGTTATGGTGGAGGTGGCAGGAGAGGTAGTTATGGAGGAGGTGATGGTGGATATAATGGATTTGGAGGTGATGGTGGCAACTATGGCAGTGGACCTGGTTATATTAGTAGAGGAGGCTATGGTGGTGGACCAGGATATGGAAACCAAGGTGGTGGATGTGGTGGTGGTGGAGGATATGATGGTTACAGTGAAGGGGGAAATTTTGGTGGTAACTACGGTGGTGGTGGCGGTGGGAACTATAATGATTTTGGAAATTATAGTGGACAACAGCAGTCAAATTATGGACCCATGAAGGGGGCAGTTTTGGTGGAAGAAGCTCAGGCAGCCCCTATGGTGGTGGTTATGGATCTGGTGGTGGAAGTGGTGGATATGGTAGCAGAAGGTTCTAAAAACTCAGCAGAAAAGGGCTACAGTTCTTAGCAGGAGAGAGAGTGAGGAGTTGTCAGGAAAGCTGCAGGTTACTTTGAGACAGTCGTCCCAAATGCATTAGAGGAACTGTAAAAATCTGCCACAGAAGGAGTGATGATCCATAGTCAGAAAAGTTACTGCAGCTTAAACAGGAAACCCTTCTTGTTCAGGACTGTCATGGCCACAGTTTGCAGAAAGTGCAGCCATTGATTAATGCAATGTAGTGTCAATTAGATGTATATTCCTGAGGTCTTTTATCTGTTGTAGCTTTTTCTTTTTCTTTTTCTTTTCATTACATCAGGTATATTGCCCTGTAAATTGTGGTAGTGGTACGAGGAATAAAAAATTAATGCATTTTTAACTTTTCAATATTTGTGTAGTTCAGTTTTTCTACATTTTAGTACAGAAGCTTTAACAAAATGCAGTTTTGAAGGGGTTTCCTTGTGATTTAACAAGTAAAGAAGACCATTGTTAATCACTATTTTGTATGAATTTTGCTAAAGTTAACTGTAAAGAAACACCTGCTGACTTGCAATTTAAGGGGAATCTATTCTCCCCATTTCCAAACCATGAAATGAATGGGCTCTGACATGTGGAGAGAACAGATATTTGTATGTTTGCATTGTGTGTTTTAGATAAATAGAATTGGGCATTTGAATTAGCATATTTGTGACTTTAATAACATTAAGATTTACCTTCAAATGAAAAAAATCTCAAAATTCCTATTTGGTTTTGTGCATTTTTCCCCCCAAAAAATGTAATCATGACTTTAGTGTGTTAGCCTTGCTGAGAGTCCTAGCCATGTTTAGAACGTCTCCATTCTACATTCACCTTGGTCACATGTGAACTGCTGCCATAGTTTTATTTGGGTGTAAAGAATGTCTACTGCAGAGAGGTAGTGGATGTTTTTTCTTCATTAAAAGTCATTCTTAAAAACTTCTCAAAATACAGGACCACTAAGCCTCTGCTGTATCTGAGCAAATTGGTGGCTACCTTTTTTCTTTTTTAAAACACAAGAGGCCCATAAATCTTCAGTTATTTTCTTTGGTTTAATATTTTTTTATATAAACTCTCAAAGCAAGAGAATAAAAATCACACATTGTTGAACCCTTAAAAAGAACTTTAACTCATAAAGTCAAAAGAATTTGATTCAGGGCTTCAATCTTTTTGGACTTTAAATCACTTGGATATAATTTGCAAAGGGAGATAATATTTATCTTTATTGGAATTTTCCCCTGTAATTTGATCATGAGATATGAAGCATGTTATTGTTAGCATATTTCCATTAGAGTATTTGTGTCATTTGACAACACTGTGGAGCCGCTAATAGATTATACACATGTTTTGGCCATAAAATGCACTTCTCAGACATCTTGATTTGGGGTTCATAATGGACTGACAGCCTCTGGATCTATCACCATGTTCACACTGAGGCCACCCTTCCCACCCACTGCTCCTAGCCAGTGACTGAGGATGACCAAGGTACTAAAGCAGGCCCATTCCAGTGAGACATAGAACTCCTCTAACAAGTGACTTTGGCTCAAGGATTCCCTGTCAGCCAGGTTTAATCTTCCTGGGAGCTGCAGTGCAGTCTGAGGTTCTTCCTTCCCGTCCTCCTCCCTTTTTCCTCATCTTGCACAGATGTCAGACTTGCACCATGGTCTGATGGCTCTCCTTGCTTTCTTCTATTCCTTCTCCTAATAAACTTCTTACATGTCTGGTCTCCTTTGGTGTCTAGTTCTCAGTGGATTGAACTAACATAATGTGTAACTGGACAAATTGGCTAGACATAATTTGGGCTGAGAAATAAAATAAGAAATTGATTTTCATCCTAGGGTACAGTGTGGCCTCCAAGTTAATTTAATGAATGTACTCACCTGGCCTATTTCAGAGCATTCTGGGAGCAAAAGCAACACTGCTGACCTGGAGAATACCAGGAGGACTCACAGAGGAGCACAGTTAGCATTGGGGCAATAGCCTCATGAAAATGAGAATAGGACTATCCTGATAGTTTGCTAATCTCTTCCATAAAAAGAGATAGCTATAGCCTGGCTGAATACAGGCTAATTAATGGTCAAGCCCAAAGGATTAAGAGAAGAAAAGTCTGGGAAATGTTAAGGGGTAAAACTTCCTCCCCACTCCAATATTCTCCTTGTAGAAGAAGCTTCACTAAGGTAATACTCATTTCTACTTCCTGCCAATCCCTCACACTCCTCCCCAGAGAAGGAGTGAGTTTTCTTCTTGACATAATGAGGAGAAAAAAAAATTTAATGCCTTCTTAAGCCCTTTCCTACCTCATTTTAACTTGTGGAACACAGAAAACATGCATGATATCCTGCTTCCCCACACATGTTTTACAGGGGCAGGCTGCTGTGTGGGGAAACCAGCAGGTTCAGCACTACTTGATGTATGACTGGTCCATATTAGGAAGCCTATTGCTGCATACATCTAAGCCATCTCTTCAATTCCAGCTCTTAGAAGTTTAGCAGATGATATTTTGACCACCATCTGTCTTCTCCTTTTTATCTCATAACTACTTCTGAACTCCACTGGGCAGAAGATGTTATTTTTCCTTTTTTATCTAGGAGGAAACTGAGATATAGTCAGCCAAATAATTTTCCCAAGATCACATGGCAACAAGTGGCAGGATAGAACTCAAGAAGTTGAGTTCTTAGCTTCTGTGTGTTTATATGTTGTCATTTCTTATCATAGCTCTATTTTCATGATGAAAGCTTTTGATACATGCAAATTTAAAAATACACCTAGTGAATACATTAGGAGTGTTTATAAGGTTATGTCCTGTAGTCTTCAACTTATTTTTTTATATTACATTTAAACTTTTAAGTTGTCACATTTGAAATCTCTCACAGAATGTCTTGACAAATACTTTTTTAAAAGGTTATTTGATGGAAAACCAACTTCCAATTATCTTATTCTCTCACATGATCTCTACTCTAGCACATGACAAAGAGTGGACCAAGATTGTGCTTGCCCAAATAATTTCATCTGTGTGTTGGGGACCTGGAAAGGCTTGAATCTAGATATTTCAAGTAGGTTGAACATAATAGTCAAGGAAGTAGACTTAAACTGGAAAAGTATTCATCTTAAAAATCAAGTGGGATTTTTTAAACTTACAAATCTACTCCACACTTTCCAAGAAGTCATTGTTAGTCATTGTGTCTGTTTTCTCTGAATTGTTTTATTATCAAAAATAAAAAAATACTGGTTGATGCAATGATGTGAATGTTTTGATTGAAACTACTTTGTAAAAATGAGTGGAAATCAGAAAAATAAAATGCTAATATGTATGATTATTCAAGTAAGCCAAAGATGAAAATTATTAAGCATGCTAAAAGCAGCAAGTAGTTGGCGTCAATTATATTCTCATCGGACTTAAGCTAGTCAACTGTTTAATCATAAATGCAAAACAAAAAGTTTAAGTAAGTATTTGTTCAAAATGCAAACATATTGTGATAGAGAAAATATATGTATAAAATTATGAAGTGGAAACCAGCATCAGGAAGTATCCCAGGAATCCAAATGCAAAGAGAAGCATTAGTTCCACAGCTCCATCAACAGGAATATGGCTTGTGGCTAGCTCCATCAACAGGAATATGGCTTGTGGCTAGTAAGGGGAAAAAGAAGACTGATGTTGAACATTTTCTTGAGAAAGGGTGATTCCCTACAAACCCCCTGAAAATTACCCTTAGCAAGCAATTCTCAACATATATATATATATATATATATATATATATATATATATATTAATGTAATATATTATTACATAATAGTTTATATTATATTATATTAGAAATATATTTATATCATATGTTATATACCACATATAATTATATATATACTATATTATATATTCTATTATATAATATATTTATTCTATTATATATATATATCTTCCAACTATTAAATGTCCTTTCCAGTAAGCTGAGAGAGGTAGAATTTGAAATAAGGCATTACTTTAAGAAATTCATTTTTGTGTATATTGGTGTTTAATCTACCCATAGGATATTTGGTGTGGTATTTAGAACTCTTTCAGTTGCAAATAACAAAAAAGTACAATTCAAAACACTACAGGAGGCACTTTGAGTCAGTGGACTCATAGAATGCATTCAAAAACAATTTTTCCTTTCATTTTCATTACTCATGCTCAGCAAATGGTCCTCCCCCTGGGATAAAGCCAAACCAGGACACTCCTAGATATAAAAGTCATCTAATGACATCTAGTTGCATGAATCGTCTTGTTTTATTAACCAAAATGTTTAGTAATTTAAATGTGGAAGCCAAAATTCCAAATTTCATTTAAAGTTCAAGTTTCTCCCTTTGAAAAAATGCTTGCAGTGACGGGGGGATTAGTTAGCTTTATCTCTATTTTTCTACTTGGTGCTTCTACTCCTTCTTCCCCAATCACCAAGAGGCTGCCTCTCAATCCTTCAGGGTAAAAACCAAGAAATGGATAAAAACTAAGGGGGAGAGGACCTCCTGTCAAGAAGGCAGCAAGGTAAACACAGCTCACCTCACACAACCACATCAAAATTACAACTAAACTGTAGAACAACCATCACTCAGAACCATCAAAAATCAAGTTCGATGAAAGTCTGACAGCTACTCAATTAAAGAAACCACATCCATCCAGACTGGGAGGAGGGGCGGAGGCGTAGAACAGTCTGGGCCCACATCCACATGTGGTGGATAAAAACTTAGGAGGGATATCTTGGGAATGAAGAGTCCCAGCCCCATACCAGTCCTCCCAGTCCAGGGTTCCAGTGCCAGGAAAATAAGTACCCATAACTTTTGGCTGTAAAAACCAGTGGGGATTTGGCTAGTGGAAGAAAACTTCTGGAGTCCCAGGCAGTTCCTCTTAAAAAAACCCATACATGGACTCATTCCTCCTCACTTCCTCTAAGCTCTAGCACTAGGGTAGCAGCTTGAAAGGCATCAGTGGCATACAGGGAGGAACTGAAGTGTCTGGCATCAAGGCAAGAGCTGGGGGACAGCTTTCTGCCAGAGAGAAAGGTGGGCAGAGGCCATTATTCTTTTTCTGAACCCTCCCCAACTAAGCCACAGAGCTTGCAGGTGGGTGCCACATCTGAGACTCCATCAACCTGGCTAACACTGTTTGCCCTGCCCTAGAGATCTCTGAGACTCCATCCCACCCAACTTATAGGCCCACCCAAAACATTAACAATGACTTTTCATATGAATGACTGGTCTTAGCTGATGCTTTACAACTTTATAAATCCTCCCGAACAAGCAACAGTCTGCCTAATGAGTCCCCAGTCCCAGTACCTCTTGCTAAGTAGCTCCAGGCCCAACACTAGCAGCAGCTAGCCTAGATTCACAGTTTGGCTTTGCCTGGGAATCTCCAACCCCCGCATAAATAGCAGCAATCTCTGATTGTTTTATAGCTCACTCAGGGTGGTCCTGGGCAGAGTACAAGTGGAGGCTGACCTTGGCTTGCACCACCCAGGAAACCCCAGAGCCTGCACACCCAGTGGTCAGCTACAAACCACCACCCTGCCCCTGCACAGCTGATTCTCTATGGAGGGCAGAGGTTGGTGGTCAGAGGTCACAGCCAGTCCTTGAAGCTGTCCTGGGTAAATCTCTCCCATTGACCTGCCAACAGTAATCAAAGCTCAACTACAAGAGGAGGGTGTAC